AAGACTGGCCGAGAAGAATCTCTGAAGAAAGGGAAACTGTTGTGGTCTTAACCTGATGGGGCTTAAGATATTCGGTTGAAGCTGGTCATCATGCTTAACCCCTTAGTGACCGAGGCCTTTTTTCATTTTTTTGTGTACATGTTATAATCCACATTTTAGGCCTGAGAATTACTTAAAGCCCCCAAACATTATATATTTTCTGAAAGCCAGGATTCTATAGAATAAAATGGTTGCAGTTGCAAATTTTTATATTGCACGGTATTAGCGCAACTTCTTATCAAACCCCAAAATTTAATGATAAATGCACTTAAATGCCCCACAACACAATAAAATACCCATTTTTGAAATACAATATAAAAGATGATGTTACTACGAGTAAATAGATACCTTACATGCCCAGGTTAAAAATTGTGTGCGTCCTTGAAACTGTGACAAATTTCAGTACCACAAAAAGTCCATAGACACTTTAAAAGCCCCTACAGGTCATCAGTTTAGAGATACGCATAAATATTAGCCCTAGAATTATTGCTCTCACTCCGGCGTGCGTGGCCATACCCAACATGTGTAGCGTGACCGTCATTTTCATGCGTAGACGCACCCTACGCGTGTTTACGTGAAGGCGCGCATGCTCACGTGGGGTTTTAAAAACATTTTTTACATTATTTTTACATTTATTAATTTTAACCCCTTCATGACTGAGCTTTTTCCAGTTTCTGTTTGTAAATGACTGACACACTTTTTACATTTTTGCTGTGTGATTCTTCCATGGCAATAATATACTTTCTTACTAAATGTACCCACACATATTATATATTGTTTTTTAGAGGACAGATAGGGCTATATATTTATATCAAACGTGTACCTAACGCCTCACCTGGTTCGAATAAAATATTTAAAAAATTAGGAAAAAACGTAAAGAAAACACTTTTTTCACAAGTTTTGATTATTATTTTTTAGAAATAATTTTTTATAATATAGTATAAAAAATATATTTATATATAATTTTTATTTTCTTAATTTCTTTCTCACTTTGTTTTACACTTTTTTGGGTCAATTTATATCAAGCAGTCAATATGACTGCTTGATAAATTAACTTTTTTAATTTTTGGTTATTATTAGGCTGCTCCAAACTTGGAACAGCTAATAATAACCTTTGAGACTGATCCTGACAGATCTCACTAAAGGTTTCTGATTGTGCCCAGACGATCAGAAGTGATACATTTCAGGCAAAGAGATACATTGTAATATTGCTGTGCCTGAAATATATCACACAGCTTTGTAAACTTTGGGCCGTCTATGAAGCTGTCAAAACTAATAGCAGAGAGGTGACTCTGCTACCTCTCTGTTATCTTAGCTGTCAAATACCGGATCGCTATTTAGTGATCCTGTATTTGTATGTAACTGCTTCATTCTGTCATTAATGAAAGAAAGAAGCTTTTACAAAAGCTTAACTATTTAATTAATGAATGCCTCAATACTGAGGCATTCATTAATGAATGGTAACTGCTGAGAATCAGCGGTTACCAGCATTACAGGTCCGCAAATAACCGGTAACGTACAGTGTACGTGGCCAGTCATTTGGGCACTTCGTGATGAGACATACAGTCTGTCTCCTGTCACGAAGGGGTTAAAAACAGTTTTGTTTTTTAAACTTTAATTACTATCACATAGGGGGGCTTACAATATTGGCAGTGACAGGTACTCTTTAAGGTGATACTGGGGGTCCAAAAGACCTCTAGTATCACCTTTACACTTAAAATAAGCTATTGAAGTGCAGATCAGTAAAAAACAAGATTCCCCCTTGAACCCACACCATTAATTGCCTGTCCTGAGATCAGGTTTTACAGCTGGAAGAAGTATTCCATTTCACAGGGGTTTCTGGCCATGTGTGATGTCGCTAGGTGGACAGGCTTGCCTCAGTTTGTTAGCATAGTTTCAGCCATACAATTAGACTTTTCACCTACCCAAAAATGTCAGGTTGCTTTGCACTAAGCTATTTGTCTTTTTGTCTGTCTTTTGGTGTGTATCATATGATAAACTCCTATATAGTTTTATTTTCTTGTCTAAATCTGAAAATATAAAATGTTGGATGAAACAAAATTGCTGTAGCAAATGTATACACTGTATATGCAATAATCCTTCCAAGGGATAAGCTACATGGTAGACTGTGATTTTAGCAGCCATGTTAACTAAAAGTGATATAAATTTACAGTTCTTAAACTTATTCAGGAGAGGATGCATACAGGCCAACTACACAAGCGATTTTGTCGCTGCAACTAATTGCTACTATGTTGCTGCTACAAAGTCACCCATGTAGCTTAGCCCTAGTAATGACAATAGTAACCCTTAGGAGACTTCACATGTATTGTGCTGGGGTTTTTAGAGAACTATACATCTAATACTACAGCAAAAATATGTCCGTAAATATCACAAAGATCTAATTAAAAAATTACTGATCAGTTGTACATTAAAAATGTCCATCAGGTAAACAATAAAATACCACAAAGTGTGCTTGATGAAATGCAGCAGACAGAATTCTAATTCAAGTCAGAATGAAACAATAAATGAGAACATTGTTACAGTACCAAACCATGCCATAATGAAATACCAATGTTCTAGATCCTAAGTCAATACTGGCTGTGTAATTTCTTGTAAAATAAGGGTTCCTTATCATGGTATCTTTGCTTAATTAATTGAGCCTTATAGACCTTATTGTTTGTTTGTTTGTTTGTTACCCATTTTTCCACATTGGTAAAGTGTGGATCACAGATCATCTTTATTTGATAAGTGCTGTAGCTTATTAAATAATTTCAATAACTTTTTCACCAAAAGAAAAGCCAAGCATATCCACTTATCTATTTAGTCTTCAAATAATTGAAATTCCAATTTCCGCCGAGAACATTCTGCTAGACAACCAAACAAAAAAAAACCTATATTCTGCAGCATACACTGTGCTTGGTGCATGATTTATTTCACTATGCAAGAAAGTTGGAAAATGTCTAACATTAACCAGTGTGTGCAATGGTTGGGTCTTTTCTGCCCGTGCGTGCCCGCTAGGGGGCGCGCGCGAGCAGAAAAAAAATGCCGTCTGGAGACGGCAACCCGCCAATGCTGCAGTGCCGTTTATCCGTTTTTTTACAACGGGCGGACGGCAAGAGGTTAAAGACTGTAATGCAATCAGATAGAAAAAAACACTTGGGGAGAGAACAAAATAAATTCTTAAGTTGAACTTGCAGCTTATAATTTATGTTTTCTGCTGTTATACATTTAAATGTATAACAGCGGAAAACACAAATTATAGGCTGCAAGTTCTACTTCAGAATTTAACTTGTTCTCTCCCCAAGTGCTTTTTTTCTGTCTGACTGCATTACAGTCTTGCTGTCCGGGGCATTTTCTTACTATTTGCGCACACATGATAAAATATAATTTTTTGGCTAGAAAACAGCTTCAAACCCCCAAACAATGATATATGTTCTGAAAGCAGAGGCCCTGTAGAATAAAAAAATGCTATTTGCAATTTTTTATGTCGTACGTTTTTTGCGCAAATGTTCATCAAACCAGTATTTTTAGGAAAAAATAAACTAAATTAAAATGTAGTACACAGAAACATAATATAATACCCAATTTTTTGGTAAAATATGAAAGACGGGGTCACGCCAGGTAAATAGATATCAAACATGTCAAGCCTTAAAATTGCGGTCCCCATGAAGCTGCAAAAAAAGTACATTCCCAAATTTCCCATAGGGAACACTTTAAATGCTTTTACCGCTCATTATTTTAGTGCTAACTGTAATTGATGGCCCTAAAAGTATTGCTCTCACTCCGATATGTAACACGTGTAGCATAATTGTCGTTTTCCACTAGGCGCACCGGCGCGTGTATGTGTGTGCACGTGGGGGGCGGGGGACTGTAAAACATTTTCTTATGTTACTTAAATTTTTTAACACTTTTTTTTTTTTACACTAACCCTATTGCTATCACATAGGGGGCTAACAAGCACCCCTATCTAATAGCAGATAGGGGGTGACAGGTCCTCTTTATGGACCTGTCTTTCAGACCCCTAATGTCACCTAGGGACCCCAAAGAGATCTGCTTCATCTCCTGGCTCTAAGAGCTGAAAACTGTAACTGAGTGACACCAAAAGTGATGTAATACATATCACTTCCGGGTCCAGTGATTGCAGGAGAGATCAGTGGCTGGAAGATGCTGAATCTCTCTCCAATCATTGCGGGGAGACCTGCCGAGCCACTCCCGGAATGCCGCATGGGGACAGCGGTGCCCGGGAAAGCCAACGGCGGCGGCGGCAGGTGGGGGGGCGCCACACGGTAACAAACGATCCGGCAGCTGTACATTAAAAGCGAAAAGCAAGAACACGGCTGCTGCAGCAGCCGTGTTCTTGTTTTAACCACTTCTGCGGGCCGCCGTCTATAGACGTATTGCGGCCCGGAAGTGGTAAATGTTAGAGATTTTTTATAATTTCTTGCATGTTTGGTACATTTGAGACAAAACAGCCAATATGACTAGGTTTAGATTCTGTCAGTTTCTATTTTTTATGACCTTAACTGTTCTGTAAGTTGTTAAGAATTTGGAAATGTAAAGTTAAATAGATATTTGTGGATGGTTGCACATTTTCTTCCCAGCTCACAATCTGTCTGCTATATTTTGGCTCACATAAAATAAATATATGTATTTGTGTGAAGATATATCTGTATACACACACTCTGCTGTTTTTGATCTGACAGCATGATGTGTGGGTTTTAATACCTGCTGGTTTGATGGGCTCATGCGCATTTCATTACTTAGCATCCAGTCACATGCAGTATTTTTCATGTAAAATAGCATGTGCCTTTTTGTGGTAAATGAGCAGCAAAAATAGCTAACCTTTTACAAATTTTGCCAGGGGTTTGTAAAATGATGTGCACAACTATATGGATAAATAGCAACACCAGTAAAAAAAATTCCTATTATAACTTTAACTTATAGGCCACTATATAACTCACCGGTAATAAGGTTGTCCACCAAAGTTGTTGGCATGCAGAAAATTCCCACCAGCAAGTCACTGACTGCAAGGTTCAGAATAAACATGTTGGTAACTGTACGCATCTGACGATTCTTCAGTACAATGAAGCACACCAACATGTTGCCAATCATACACATAAGAAAGATGAAAGTGTAGGCTAAGATAAACATGGCAGCTATAGATGAGGAGTGCTGGTAGTAGAAGGAGAATGTTAGGTTATCTCTGGAGACGTGAGTCTTATTCCCAAATCCAAGAGAACTGATGTTGAAAGGTGGCACAACAGGTCCTGAAATATAAAAGAATAATACATTAGTGTTTTGGTCCCAAAAGTTTAATAGTAAACCATTTAACCCCACACATCTACCTCCTCATGTATCACTTCTCCCTTCCTTTTAGATGGTAAGCCCTCAGGGGCAGGGCCCTCCTTACCATCTTGTCTTGAATTGTATTGTGATTGTAATGTCTTCCTTATATTGTAAAGCGCTGCACAAACTGTTGGCGCTATATAAATTCTACATAATAATAATAATAATAGTAATCAAATTAGTTTTTCAAGTTAGTTATTAAGAATCAAGCTTTTATCTTCAGTGACATTTTAGAAGACAACAGATCTTTTGTTTCACATGAAAAACCAGCAGGATGACTTTGTTCTCATGTTCTTTTTTTTTTCTGAAGGATTGAGAGAAGTCTCGTCTTTAAAAATCTGTATTAGAGAATATGTTTTAATTTTATACGAGTCAAATCTGTTCATATTCTGCATAGGTTAATACTAGGTTTTTAGGATTTGTGCAATTGGTTTATTTAGAAAGGGTTCTTTCCCTTAATTTATTTTTAAAGTGACACTTTAACTCGTGAGTTAAATCCTAAAATGCATTCAAGTACCCTATTTACAAAAATGTAGCTTATTTGTGCATTACTCAGCTGTAGATCCCCAGATCATCTATGATTCATTCATGCTGACACTGTCCTTCCTTCAGAAGGGTGACTACTTTTGCTCCCCATGGTCCCTGTGTGTGTTGTAAAGTAGCCACCATTCTAAGTTCACTCTCATGATGGACTACAATCTCACATTAGTTAGCAAATTTGTATTGAGATTGTAGTGTATTATGGGAGTGAGCTTGGAGCAGTGGCTACTTTGCAACATACACCGGGACCATGGGGAACAAAAGTATTCACTCTCCAGAAGGAATGACAGTGTCAGCACCAATTCAGAGATGATTTGAGGATTTACAGCCGAAATTAAGCTATTTTTTTTGTTAATAGTTCAGGTACTTGAATGCATTTTTTAAGATTTAATTTCCAAGTTGCATGTCACTTTAAGATCTCTTTCTGTTATCTGGAATAGTTATATGAGAATAGAATTTTAAAATGTAAAACAAATATTCAAACTTTAATAGCCACCTACTTCTGTTTTGGACCTGCTCACAAATTTAGATCGGATCAAAAGGTTCCGTACTTATATCTGCCGCCTGGCCTGATTATATATAGAGTGTACACTCTGAGAGAAAAACCACTTCCATTACACTTCTTGCTAACTGTATAATCTCAAACTGATTAAATCCCTGAATATATTTCTGTAGCTTGCTTGCTATTGATACTGAAGGAAATTAAACTATAAACACATTTTCTTCTCTAAAAAAAAATGACTTGTACATTTTTCAGATTGTTGTTTCTGTGGTCATGTTCTCTCCTGGCTTTACATGGCTAGGGGTGTGCACAGATAGTAGGTGGGCAGACTTTGGGTGACGATCACACACAGCGGGTAGTGCTTTCTCCATGTGTGTGCTCTGCAAATTTGAAAAGTGAGGCTCCTGCTGGGAGCCGCTGTCATTAATCGCAGCAGCTGGGTGAGAGGTGTGGACCTAAACTGACCGTGGGAAATACAGGCACAGTTTCCTGTATCTCCCAGCGACATCAGCAGGGTCTCCCTGGGGCTGCGTGCGGTCCCACCGGGGCTGCGTGCGGTCTCAGGAGGATGTGCAGGGACTCTCTATTTCTGTGTGGGTGGGTGCAGGAGGTGGGAATGAGGAGAAGAGAATAGAGTGGTAGCCAGGTGAATAACCAAGCCGAAGTGAACAGAGCCAAACGACATACAGCTATTCACTCCGGCTCAGTACGGCTGATTTCAGCCATACATCAGCTGCCTTCGACCGCCCGAACATGCTCTACATGTTCGGCTCAGCCGAAGTACAGAAGGAGTTCGACTCAGCTGATCCAACATCTGGATCGGCAGAGCCGAAGCGCCGGCAGATCACTCGCTGCCGCTATTCTCACAGGGGCCGAACGGCAGTGAGTGAATAGCTGAATGCTGCTGAGCAGCATTTGGCTCAGCTATTCTGCTCGCTACCTTGGAGAAAAAAACGTAAATAAATGAAAAAAAAATGTTTTAAAAAATTACTTCAATAAATGTAAAAAAAATAGGTAAATTAAAAGAAAGTTAAGAAAATAATGGGGTGGGGTCCCCCTCCCAAACCATAGCAGACCCTTTTAGGTCTTAAAGGAAAGTTAGGAGGGACCACATGTAAAAAGAAAAAAAGTGTGGGGTTCACCCCAAAAGTCATATCAGACCCTTTAGCTCTGGTAGGAATTTTAGGAGGCACCCCAAGTTAAAAATTAAAAAAAAGTGTGTGGGGCCCTTAAGGTCTGGTAGGAATTTTGGGAAAAAAGGACGTGGGGTCCCCCCTAAAATTCCATACCAGACCCTTGATCTGAGCACAGGCATGGCAGGAAAGGGGGGGACGAGCGAGCGCCCCCCTGCGATACTAGGCCACATGCCCTCAGCACTGGGAGGGTGCTTTTCCAGGGTCACCGCTGGAAAAGCACATTGTCCCATGGTGATGGGGACAAGAGCCTCTACCCCACAAGCACTGGGGTGTTGGTTGAGGGGGTGCGAGCAGTCGGGCTCATTAACATCAGTGTACGCCTTTAATAAAGGGGCACACAGATGCGCCCCATCCCTTGTGAATGAGTAAGGGGTATTTGTACCCTTACCCATTCACTAAAGAGTTAGGTTAAATGTTTAAATAAGATGCCAGACTTTAAAAAATATTCCTCTAATTGAAAAAAAACTAAAGACAAATTTTTGACAAATCTTTTATTTAAAAAAAAAAGAAAAAAAAACTAAAAAAAATTCCCCTGACGTAATACAGCGTCAATCATGACGTACATCGTTGTCCACAGTGACTCGACGAAATAAAAAAAGAAAAATCAATTAAATAATACATTTTAAAAAACAACCGCAAGCAACGAACTCCTGCAGCATAATGAAGCATCTGACAGATGCTGGTAAAATAAAAACAATTGGGCGGAGCTAGCTGTGACAGCTAGCTCTGCTCAACTGTTTCCTATTGGCTGGCACCTGCCAGAGTCTTCTAGCAGGCCCTGGCCAATAACTAACAACTGGGCAGAGCCAGCCATGACGTCACGGCCACCCCCCACCCAGTTGTTATTGTTTAATGACAGATCAGCGTCCCCAGGTTATTTGGGGGCGCTGATCTGTCATTACAACTGGGCAGAGTCAGCTGTGAGATTTTGGCTGGCTCCACCCAGCTGTCATTTGCATGGAGAAAGGTCGGCCCTTGGGCCGACCTTTCTCAACGCTTCGGCTGTCACTTCGGCTCGGCTGAGCCGCTCCGCTGCCTTCGGCTACTGTATGGGTATTGTGAATAGCCCGTACAGCAGCTCTTCGATTTGACTGAACCGAAGGGCTCAGGTGGCCAAAGCGAGCCAAAGGATCAGCCGAAGCTATGGCTGGATCCTTCGGCTCCATAGTGAACAAGCCTCTTAGTATCCAAAGCCCTTGTAAATAAAAAATTAACCCTTTAGTGCCCCCAGGTTTTAAAAAGTTTAAACTGTTTTTAACATTTAAAAAAAAAAGGAAAATAAAGTATAGTGGCGAGGAGGCTATTAAAGGTGGGAAACAAACATACTATATTCTAAAATTGTTCCACACTAAATTGTATTTCACTCCTTGTATTTTGTGACCTATAACTCCTAAAATAAACTGAAATTCCAGACATATAAATAAGGACAAATATAAGAATGTATTATGAATTACTTTCTTTTAGGCTTTATTCACATAGCATTTTCCACAGTTTTTCGCACGGAAAACCGCGCAGAACAAAACCGCATGAACTTTAACATAAGTGCGGATTCCACGCGTTTGTGGCTAATACTACAGCCGTAGTGTGCGGAATCCGCCATAAAATCTCGCTTGTACTACTTTGCCGGACTCTCGGTTTCGTACTGCGCGCCAGCAGCAAATGTTTGAACAATGCAGATTAATGTGCATTGTTTTTTATGTCTAGAGTGCTTCCATATGGCCAAATACGCGTGGACAACCGGTCCTGTGCAAATGGAGCCTTAGCTACACTAAATATCTACACATTATTATTGCCAAAACTGTGAAAGATTTGTTTTGTTTTTCATTTTTTTTGCATGTTTTTTTTGTATTTTTTATAGAAAAATAAAAATGTATAAATGCATATGGCACATCAAATTAAACCCCATTTTATCCTTTAAAAATGATATATAATATGTGTAGGTGCAATGAATGAGGAAGATGGAAATTATGGTTAAACAAACGCATAGCAAAAATGGCAAAATTGCTCCGGTTCCCAGAAACGAAAACATTGTCTGAAGCTGTGTTACTAAGGGGATTAAGGAAATGTTTAGCGTTATAGTGGGCACACACCTTACAACCATCGCAAGACTTTTGTCTTGCGATGATTGTAAGGTAATTACGATCTTGGACAGGCAGATCGTACTTGCGATGATCACAAGTGGGGTGGGCTTCCGATGACGGCCAAGGTCGAACGGGCAGTGCCGAACGGGCTTGCGCACACCGGCCCGTCCGGCTTTTATCTTACTAACATGCTACACACCCGCTGAAAATTGTACGATTCTCTGCGGGTTTTCGAAGATGTTCCTAAGCTAAAAGTCGTGCGACCTTACAGTAGTAAAGGTTGCACGGCTTCCACACCCCTTTACGATAATCATACGATCGCGTACGATTATCGCAAGGTTTGTGGGCACCTTTAGGGGTCATCCACACAGGCACGTACATTCGTACAGCATGCATGCCTGTGCAGAGACCTTCTCCCAGGAGAAACAGGTGCAGCATGTAATTGCGTACAGCTGTCTGCACATCCCTATGGGAGGGCACGGCTACATGGCGACCCAAACC